ACAAAGCAACAGTACTAAAGCCTCACCCAAAGGCTTTTCCCTGGAAAAGCTCTCCTCTAAAGTGCATCAACAAACTGAAGGTACCTTTTTATTACTCCGTGGGGGAAAATGTACAGAGCTCTATGTATACATATGTTCACACCCACCAAATTGTTACTGCAGTGGGCTGTGTTTTCATACAAACGTAAATTTTGAGAGAAAAGTCAAAGGTGCTTCAGCCTTGTACTGTGTATATATATTAAAAAAACAAAGTTTTGTATGTTTTTATTACTTTAATTATTGTTATAAAAAGCCTGCCATTTTTAATATGTGGTTTGGGGGGATTTTTGTTTGTTTGTTTTCCTGTTTTGGGGGTTTTGTTTGTTTTTTTGCTTTTGTTTTTCTGGGCAAAAAAACTTGCTTTTAGTGTTTGTACTGCTGCTGGTCAGGACATTAAAATATTGAAGTGTTTTTAAAAATTAAGAAGAAAAGTAAAAGAGCTTACCACTGGCGCCTATGCGATCACTTCATTTTTGAGTTGCACCAGAAAGTGATGTAGAAAGCCATGTGTTACTTCTTACCTCCTCCTGTCCCCTCCCCCTGGCTCTGGACAGCACCCAGAACCAGTTGCTATTGAGGAGGGGCTTGTCCCCAGGCGGGAACAAGCAGATGTTGTGTATGCACCTGTGCGTGCACACGGCTCTGTTGAAAGAACCGGTCAGGAAGTGAGCGAGTTCTGTGATAGGATTCTAAGGTGTCTTACAGCAGTCTGAGAACAGGTGCAAAGTAGAAACTTTAGAAGCTTTATTTAGATGCAAAGCTTTGTAAAAGCCTAAAAGTAGGGTAAACAATGTCTGAGCTGAACTTCTCCTCCTCTCGAACTTATATGGTCATGAGCATAGGAGCAGCTGGGAATGCCATCTCAGTGCGAAGCAGTGTTTCCTCCTTGTCCCAGTTACTGCTCATTCAGGCAGTGTCTAATCTAGATCAAGCAGGTAACCTCTTGCCGAATGGGCCCAAATCAGAGACCCAGAGCAGCCAGTGGTTGGTCTGTCAGGGGTGGGAGTAGAGGCAAGAATCTTGATGGCCGCTGTCCCCTTCACCCTGGGTCAGGGGAAGGGCTGGCTGACCTTCAAGAAGGCTACTCACTGTGATCAGTGGCCGCGCCCTCAGCCCCAGACCTTAGCTGTGCAGAACAGCTTGCTGGCAGATGGCACTGTGTTGCTTTATCTGTTCCCACACCGTTTGCTTTGTATGTCTGCCAAGAATCTTCCAGTTATTAGCAAACTCAGACAAAAAGTGCCGCCAGTATTATCAGCAGTCAACAAGCGCCTTCCTCTCCACAAAAACGACTTGAAGAGAACGAAGGCCTGTTCTGTGGGCCTCCTCCCCTGCAAAGACATTGAGAGATCAACATGTTCCACAAGTGGGGACAGGTGTTCAGAGGGACTGCCAACAGTCAGAGAAACTATTATTGAATTTCTCTAAAAGTCTGCTTGCTATTTCCAGTCTGAAACAGCAAGCTTAAGAGTTACATCTTAGCACTTCCCTCCCTGTCCCCCACCCCACCCCCCAAAATCACAGGAAAGGGCTGGATGCCCCTGCTAATCAGCTTGGCAATGGCCAGAGGAAACAGGAAGTACAGCCCAGCCCTTCACCATCCAAGGGGAGCCCCTTGTTGGGCTTTTCTGTAATGGGAGGAGGTCGCAGGGTAAAGGGATGGAGCCATACAGGGGAGGTCTCTGCCCGTGGGTTACAACCAGCTGTGGGTACAGCTCTGTCCCAGAGCTAGAACTCTTCTTGTCCCTTCCAGCTGGAAATACCACCTTCCCCCTGCCTGCCTTCATGCTTTCTGTCACTCTGACTCCCCCACATGCTCACCTATCTGTAATAAGACAATCAGAATATAAACCAGTAAGGCAGCATGAAAAAGCTAAGGTAAGAAAGCAAAGTACGCCAGTGAGACCTGGTGCCCAAGCATGGTTTTTCTCCCATCCCGTAATTTTCAGATGATTCAGAAACAGCACAGCAGCACCTAAGTCTTCAGTTTGGGCTGAAAAATTGACAAATACATAATATCTGAAGCTTTCTGTTCAGCTAGTTCACGCAGTTTAAAAGACAAAAGTTCAGAAGTACACCAAGTTTGCTTTAGAATTGTTTATGCAACTTGTGTCAGTATTTTCGTGAAGACTTCCGTCTTTCACGACCTTGTGTCTTCCTACCACACCTGGAAGCTCCGGCTGCCATCTGTCCTAAAGGGGACTGCACTCAACTTCCAGAGCTGAGGCGTGTGGTCCCACATTTAATCAGATCATTAGAAACAAACCAGAGCTCTCCCCAAAACTTGGCACTATATATAACCTGATCATTTGGAAATATTTTGTTTCATAGAGCCAAATGGACATAAAATATCTCAATCCATGATCTCCTAGAGGTGACCAAGATAGGACTTAGTTTTTTCCTCTAGAAAGAAACTAGACACTTAATTGGCATTTACATTCTAGAGGATTATATCCTAAAGCAAATTTCAAAAATATTAAAAGGAACCCACACTTTCAACAGCCGAGAATTACAACACAAGAAATCCCAAGTTTGTACATGGAATGGTACTTTCCTCAAGTAGCTTAATCATGCTGCCAAATCTCAAAAATCAGATACCCCCTTTCACCTCTGAGCTGTTTTTAAGTAGAAAATTCTAAAGATCTACCACAAGATGGAGATGGTCAGCATAAGCCGATTCTGTTACTCTTAGGTGTATATTAGCCACTTAGCCATCCCTGCACTCTTTTTCCAGGAAACCAGTTACTGACTTCCTCACTACTTGCAGTAGCCTGTCTGCCCCAACTTTTTGATCCAACGCTTAAGTGAAACTCTTCTCTCTGCCTTGACCTGAGGAAGACCATCTAATTGGTTGTGTTACTTTGTATGTACCCTGTGCTTAATTGCTAGAACAGTAAAACCAGTACATGGGAGGGAGGAGGAATGCCTCGGTCACTCTGGGGGCAGTTTAGATGCTGTGAAATTAAACCTGTTCTAAGTGTACTTGTTTGAATTAATTGTATTGTAATATTATTTGTTGAATGTAGTAATTAGGTATTTATGAATATATTGCTGTAATTTCTGACAACATCCAAAAAAATAAAATCTTCCTAAATCATTAAGAGGAAAATCTTTTTTATAATAGGGCAAAAAAGGGGGGGGAAGGGGGCAGAAAAGCTCAGCCATCTAGCTTTACAGGTAAAACATGAAGACAAATTCGATTATAACCTCAGCCAAATTTCAAGAGCACAGGATAGTAAGGGGGAGCTCTATGATATATGGGACTCTGACCCTCCCCAGTAGCATGTGGTTTCTCATTCTAGAAGAGTCCACAGATGAAAAGTCCTGTCATCTGAAAGCAACCCTCTAAAACAATAACCTAAATGACAGAGACCAGGTCTTCCTATCTGACCCTGCAGTGTTCAAATAATAACCCTCAGATGTTTGTCAGAGGGACAGCTGGGTAGTGATCTGGAACAGAGAAACCGTACTTGAGTAACAGGCATCTGGGCTTTGAACACTGAAGGGCAAAATCCAGAAACTGTTCTCTAGGCTCAGTTGATCGTGCGTGTACACGCAGAAAAGCCCTAGGCAGAACATGGTCTGACCAGCAGTGCTATGGTCAAAAACCAGCGGTGACAGAACCCTACCCTGTAGGACTTGAGACTCATTTCTCCTCTCAAGGTAAGGTTAGTTCTAGGGCAGTTCTAAACCACTACAATTGAAAAGTTTCTTCTAGAAAAAGAAATGGACCCTTCCTTAAGACACCACTGCCTCCAACCGGTTCTCTCCATCCAGCAAGAGCAGCAATATGGGCACGATTTCCCCTCCCAACATCTGGACTTCATCCTCATTCACACACCCCAGAACATGTGATCTGTTTATCCTGGGCTTTTTTTAAAAAAATTATAAAGTTATTAATGTGAAAGATCTGCACAATCACCACAGATAGTGTCACTGCAGAATCTTTATTCCTGTTGTCCAATCTTGAGCTGTCTGCCAGCACCAGCCTTGGCTTTTGCAGTCCCCTAGACTTTCTTAATTCTGCCTTGGCGTTCCTTTTGCTGTTTTCCTTGGGTCTTTCTCTTCTCATATGGGTTGTGTCTTACACATCAGTGTTTGGGTTTGTTTCCTCTTTTTGCATAATCCAAGGAATCCTAAATCACACCAGAGCCAGCTGTCTTGCCACCACCAAAATGGCTTCTGAATCCAAAGATGTTATCTGGTGTGGTCTTGTACATTGTGGCTACTTTGTCTTGATTTTCTGTATTAGATACTGTTGCCTTCCCCAGGGTGAAGAACACCAATGACCCATCTGTTTCCATGAAGGAGTCTGGTTGGTCATGAACTTGCTCATCTGGACAGTTACTGTGTCATTCATGATGGCAGCTGAGCTTCAAGCAGCCAGGGAGTTCCCTGGCTTTCTTCTTGTGAAAAACCTGCTACACCTTAACCAAAAATAGCCAAAAGAACAAGAGACACCCAAGTGTCAGTCTGAATATCACCCCTGCCTGCCACATATCCCATTGGATCAGTCAAACCATTTCAGCTTTATGACTTGCTCTCTTTACTTGGTAGTGATGCAAGGAAAAAAAAAAAAAAAAAACAATGCAAGATGTGGGTGGAGTCCATCTTTATTGGCCTTAGATGGTGAACCCTGGTCAACATCTTACCACTCATCTGCCATCTTCCTCTGTGTGAGCAGACTCTAGGAGAGTCTAAATTTAGCCCAAGAGATCAGGGTCAAGAAAGGAAAAAAAGCCCCAGGCCACATCATCATTCCTACTACATTTCTCACTTACAAGCAACACTAAACATCACTGAATGTTCACCCACATGACAATGCCACACAGGAGACCGCAGGCTCTGCTGGGGAAAAGAACTTGTTTTGCCAAAACTTTCTCTCCCCCATAAAAGAACAGCTGGTTCCCTAAAGACAGATATGGAATTAAAGAATGTCTCAAAGACTAAGCACAAACCTGTTGCTTTCCAACAATGTTATTAACCCATTCCTTGTTTCATTACAGTTTTTCATACATTCAAAAGGGGTTCTAGAGCTCCAGAGATACTAGTACCTCCATTATGACCTGGACACACACACACCACCCGGCAGGCCTCCGCTGGGAGATACAAAGCCTTTCTTTCCAAGCTCATAGCCTTCTCTAGAAGTCCTGAGACTGGGTGCTTTCAGGAGGTTGCAGGTTTGTCCGTAGTTTGTACATGTGATTGAGTGCTTGTGTGAGGAAAGGCCCGCTGCTGCTGATTTCCATCAAGGTCAGGTTATCCAGCTAAACACAAGAGAAAACCTGCTGGGTTGGTTCAGGAGTGCTTGATTTGAGAAAATGTAAAATCTACTGAATAAAAATAAGTAATCGATGAATAACAGGTTTTGTTTTTTTTTAAGGCACAACACTACGAATAATCCCTGCTTGCAATAATCCAAGCAGCACCAGGCCTTGAGGGCATGTGAGGAGAGGCAGCTGCCACAGGAAGGATCCCTGTGCCCCCTCCCTGAGCATACCTACCTTGGCATGTGCCTCCTGCTGTCTCACAAAGCTGTCAGCAGACACCCGTAGTTTGGCAATGCGAGTGTCCCACACATCCTTGACCAGGGTCCGGATCTCGTCTGCTTTTGGGATATTGTCTGAAGCACTAAAAGAAGGGTGGTGGGTGGTGGGGAGGGAAGGGGGTCAGGGGTGGGAATCAAGTAAGAAAGCACTTGGTAAACTAAAGCAACATCCAGGTAGAAGTGGGTCTTCCTTTAAGTAGGTTCCACACCTAATCTGGAACTCAAACTCAAGACCCCAAGATCAAGAATCACATGCTCTTCCAACTAAGCCAGGCAGGCACTCCTCCAGGTAGAAATGGCCTTTTAAAAAAAAAATGCTGCGGGATGCCTGGGTGGCTCAGCTGTTGGGCATCTGCCCTCGGCTCAGGGAGTGATCCTGGAGACCCGGGATCGAGTCCCAAGTCGGGCTCCCTGCATGGAGCCTGCTTCTCCCTCTGCATGTGTCTCTGCCTCTCTCTGTGTCTCTCATGAATAAATAAATAAAATCTTAAGGAAAAAAAAAATGCTGCTTGGCTTTAGGAAAACAGGAGCAAAATGTTTGTTTTCTTGAAAGAGAAAGAGAACAAGCAGGGGGAATAGAAGGGAGGGGGAGAAGCAGACTCCCCGCTGAGCAGGGAGCCTGATGTGGGGCTCAATTCCAGGACCCCGGGATCACAAACTGAGCTGAAGGCAGATGCTTTACCACGTGAGCCATCCAGGTGCCTTGTTTTCAATATTAAAATGTAAACCTTTCTAGCAATTTAGCTTGGTGCCAAGAAAATTCAGCCATGACCCACACAGTTATTTGTGCTCACGTTAACTATCCCCTGACAGGTTACAATACGAGGACTTCAGAGAATAAGCTCTAAGTTGGACATTTTCTGTCTCAGGGTAACTGAGTGTTCTGTACGATAGAATTTCCATCTTGAATGAATTTGCTCAGAGGTCATGACAGCTATTGCTCATACCTCAATATTTATCCAAGGGCTTACAACCTGCCAGGGAAAGAAGATAACAGCTCTGTGCCAGGCACTGTGCTCAGCACTACAAAGCATGTCTATCCTCCCAAAAGCTCTGAAGGCTAGGTACTATCTCACTCCACAAAGAAAATAAAAATACACTTTACAGAAACTAAAGAAACTGCAAATTAGCATAAACTGAACATACCTATACACAGCAAATTCTGGGTAAAAGTTTTAACAGGAGTCAACAAGGGTCAGTGTGACAGCCTTCCTGTCTTGAGCTACACTTTGAATCCTTTGACCATTCTAGCCTTTTTTTTTTTTTTTAAGTAGGCTCCACACCAGTGTGGAGCCCAGTGCAGGGCTTGAACTCATGACCCTAAGATCAAGACCTGAGCTGAAATTGATAGACACTTAACTGACTAAGCCATTCAGGCACCCCTTGTTATGAGCTGTATTTTAAACTAACCTTTGAAGGGAAAAACAAAATAGAAGATGAAAATAGAAGCTTACACTTCTATCTATGGTCCATCACCAGGCATGCTAGGAAAGCTGGAAGTGGCCTCTCCACATGCTGAAAGTAGCTTGTGATTAGTAGTGGAGAATCAGTGGTATAAAATTTACATAGTGGATTGTTATTTAAGAACCAAACATTTGGATCTTATGCTCTGGACAGCAGGTTAAAGAACAAAGGCTCCCAGGTACTTGTTAACTGCAGAACAAAGGTAAAATTAGGTCCCTTGGCTGAATGAATTACAAAGAATCATAAAACCAAAGTTTAAACTACATACATAAGACCCTAAACTTCAAAAACTAAAGGTGAAGAGGGCCCTCACCTCTGCTTCTGTACTTTCCAAGTTCCCCTGCCAACTGCCACAGAAGGCTTTCCGATCCATTGGACAACACACCCCTGCCAAACAACCTCCCCAAGACACTGCCGCCACAGAATAACAGCCTCAGCATCCTGTCCCTTCACTTAGTCTACATCTGCCCCAACAGTTCTGCTTCCCCAAACATACCATGCCCGTTCACATGTCCCTGCCTTCTACCTAGAGTGTCCCTTCCCTCCCTCTTTCTTAAAGGGATGCCTTCTCTGGCTCCACCAGACATTAGGGCTGCATCCCCACATGCTCTGAACAGGACATCACACTGCAGTGTGGAACTTCTGGTTAACAGGCCCACACTTCTTCCCCACTAAGTGGGGCTCAAGCCCATGTGACTATTTCCACTATCTACTGGAATGCTTAATATGTTGTAAACTGTAGTCTCATATATCAACTTAAGAGCAAGTCCATGTTACGTACCACAAATTTTCATTTGAATAGTGTCATGCAGTGGGCCCCTGGCCCATGCTCTACAGCAGACAATAGGGAACTTCCCCATTTTTGTTATAGTTCTGCTCTTGAATCCATCAATGAAAAGGTTGTTCAGAGGGCACCTGGGTGGCTCAGTCAGCTAAGCATCCGACTTAGGTCTCAGCTCAGGTCTTGATCTCGAGGTCGTGAGTTCAAACCCCATACTGGGCTCCACACTGGGCATGGAGCCTACTTTAAAAAAAAAAAGTGCTCAGAGCTTCAAAAGCTTGACATTTTGCAAATTACATTCTAGTATCTCCCATAGAGAGATACTTGGAGAGATACTTGGAGAGATCTCCAAGATCATCCACACTTGCCTGTCCCCTTCTGATTTCATTCAATAAATATGTATGCACCAGGCACCATATTAGGGCAAACAAGACACAATCCCTGCACTTTTTTTTTTTTTAAGAGGAAGAGAGCACATGTGTACACAGATTGGGGGTGGAGGGGCAAGGGGAGAGGGAGATAGAAAACCTCAAGCAGGCTTCATGCCCAGCATGGAGCCCGACACAGGACTCAATCTCATGACCTGCACCAAAATCTAGAGTCAGACACTTAACTGACTGAGCCACTCAGGCACCCCAGTCCCCACCCTTTAGAACTGGGGTAGGAGTGGGAGGGCACAGCCTGACTAGTGATTAGGAGATTACAGCTGACAAATAAATGTCATGGGGGCTACAGAGCTGCCAAGAGGACTGGCATCCTTAACCTGTGAGGAACACCAGTTAGGCTAAACCAAAGGAGGGAACAGAGAATAGCTGGACCTACTGAACAGAGGGAACAGTATATGAAAGCCCTGAGGATCCTGGTATGTGTAAGGAAGTAAAAGAGGCCAATGTGAGCCTGGAACCCGAAAAATCAGAGGGAAGAATTATAGAAGCCATGAAAGAAGGCAGAAGGAGATCAGGCTAGGCAGTGCTTTGCATGCCATCATGAAGACTTTAGTCTAAACCCTGGACAGGCTCCAAAGAACAGGGATGTCACATGGCAGCTCCATCTTTAAAAGTCCACTCTGGCTGCAACATGGAGAATGAATTAGAAGCCAAAGGGGAACCATAAATGGACACAGGGAAAAAAGCTACTACACACTTTTTGCCCCCAGTGGGCTTTCATTACAGCTAGGGTTCAGAGCAAGTGTGAGCCCTCTGGCCTTTCCTGTGAAAGACATACAAGAACTCAAATGCACACAGTGGAAGACTCACCAATAAAACATAGACACAGTAAAGCTTCACTAATAAAACAGACCTACAGTTAAGAAAAAGGCTAGAGATGATAATGGAGACTCACTCGGGTCCAATGTCAAGTGATAAAGCAACAAGGGATTCCCCAGGAGAGGTAGAGGTGGGAAGAAAGCCCAGGCAAGAGAGTATGTGCATACAAACGCCCCCCAGGTAACTGACACAGGGAACTAGGTGGCCGGGGATACCCCTCACCTCAGAGTTGAATGTGGAATGAGAAAGGAGGGATGGTGAAAGGGACAAGAATCAGGAGTTTCACTTTACACGTGGCTCTAAGGAGGACACATACTTACTGATTTAACAGGAGTTTGGTAAGTTCCATGTAGTAAGGGCTAGGCATAAGAGTAAAGGTTTCTTCCTTCCGCTCGTGATCCCTAATCTTCTCCAACTTTTCTGAAATTTAGAAGTGCATACATTTTTACCATCACCATGCCCAAAATATTTAAGTTTTCCAACTTTATCAGGTGTCTACATTACCTATTGGATCAACTAACAGAAACAAAGGAAAAAAAGCACTTTTTGGAGTACCGTATCACTAATTAGAGGATTCAGGGCCTATTTCCTCAAAAGTTTCTCTTATAGGGACACCTGGGTGACTCAGCAGTTGGGCACCTGCCTTTGGCCCAGGGTGTGATCCTGGAGACCAGGGATCAAGTCCCACATCAGGCTCCCTGCATGGAGCCTGCCTTTCTCACTCTGTTGTCTCTCATGAATAAATAAAATCTTAAAAAAGGGCGGGGGCCAGGGGGGCAGTCCGAGTGGCTCAGTGGTTTAGCGCCGCCTTCAGCCCAGGGCCTGATTCTGGAGACCCGGGATCAAGTCCCATGTCAGGCTCCCTGCATGGAGCCGGCTTCTCCCTCTGCCTTTGTCTCTGCCTCTCTATGTATCTCATGAGTAAATAAATAAAATCTTTAATAAAAGAAAAAAAAAGTTTCTCTTATAGAAGGTGGTAAATTTTTGTGGGTGTTGCTGCTCTGGCCCGCGGGATGTAGTACTGATGAAACTGTGTCTGAGTCAGAAATTCTTTTCTTAGGGAAAGAGACAAGTGTTCTACCTTTGATGCAAAAGGTGAAGAGAGTAACCAGTGACTGGAGAAATTTACTTATGTATACGAAGCCTTGTTCAGAGGAGAGCAAGAGGACATAGAACAGAAGTGCTTCCAACCTGGAGGTGGGTGATGATCATGGGGGGTTAAAGCCCAGTATCTGGAATCCAGCAGTGGAGCCCAATTCCATCCAGCAGCAGTACCCCTCTCTCCCTGGTTTATGGGCCTGAGAAAGTCCTGAATCTGGACTGGCCACTGTGGCTGAGGGACACACACACAACTGTGCTGGGGGGGGGGGGAAATCTGTCAGTGATGGGTCCCCTCTTCAGGGACCCTTGGTGCCACGCTACAACCCGATTTACTCCCCTGTTCCATTCACCTGCTCACTCTAATGCTCTCCTTCTGAGAACCTGCACACTCCTGCTGGTACACTGCTCCCAACCCCCTCCATACCTGTCTCTGTGCACTAGGAACAGCCATCCAGGTGAATCCTGGACCTCCTCTCCAACCTTCATAGGACACCACCCTATCAATGCTCACTTGAGCATTCACTGTTGTCCTCACTACTTAACCATTCCATCAAACTCACTACAATAGCTTCCATCTTAAAATGAAAAATCCTAGGGTGCCTGGCTGTCTCAATCAGTTGAGCATTTGACTCTTGATTTTGGTTTGGGTCACGATCTCAGGGGCCTAGGATCCAGCCCCAAGTCAGGCTCCCCACTCAGCGGGGTCTGCTTCTCTCTTTTCCTCTGCCCCTCTCCCTGTTTGCTCTAAGTCTTTAAAAAAAAAATAAGAGGGCAGCCCTGGTGGCTCAGTGGTTTAGTGCTGCCTTCAGCCCAGGGCCTGATCCTGGAGACCTGGGATTGAGTCCAACGTTGGGCTTCCTGCATGGAGCCGGCTTCTCCCTCTGCCTGTGTCTCTGCCTCTCTCTCTGGGTCTCTCATGAATAGATAAATACAATTTATTAAAAAAGAAAAAGAAAAAAAAATTAAAAGAGAGGGAGAGGGATCCCTGGGTGGCACAGCGGTTTGGCGCCTGCCTTTGGCCCAGGGCGCGATTCTGGAGACCCCGGATCGAATCCCACGTCGGGCTCCCGGTGCATGGAGCCTGCTTCTCCCTCTGCCTATGTCTCTGCCTCTTTCTCTCTCTCTGTGTGACTATCATAAAATAAATAAAAATTTAAAAAAAAATAAAAATAAAAATAAAAAAAAGAGAGGGAGAAAGAGTCTAGGGGTGTCTGGGTGGCTCAGTTGGTTGAGTGTCTGCCTTCGGTTCAGGTCACGATCTCAGGGTTCTGGGATCAATACCCGAGTCAAGCTCCCTGTTTAGCAGGCAGTCTGGTTCGCGTTCTCCCTCGCTGTGATCTCTCTCACTCTCATTCTCTCTCAAATAAATAAAATTTTAAAAATAAATAAAACCTTAGTAAGTGAAATAAGTCAGAGAAAAACAATGATCATGATTTCACCCATGCGGAATTTAAGAAACAAAACAGACGATCAAAGGGGAAGGGAGGGTAAAATAAGACAAAATCAGGGACACCTGGGTGGCTCAGTGGTTAAGCGTCTGCCTTCGGCTCAGGGCATGATCCTGGGGTCCTGGAATCAAGTGCTACACCGGGCTCCCTGTGGGACCCTGCTTCTCCCTCTGCCTATGTCTCTGCCTCTGTGTCTCTCATGAATAAATTAAAAAAAAAAAAAGACTAAATCAGAGAGGGAGACAAACCATAAGAGACTCTTAACCCAAGGAAACAAAATGAAGTGGCTGGAGGGGATGTAGGTGGGAGGACAGAGTGGGTGCATGAGGGTGCATTAAGGAGGGTGCATGATGGAATGAGCACTGGGTGTTATATGCAACTGATGAATCACTGAACTCTACCTGTGAAACTAATAATACACTATATGTTAATTAATTGAATTTAAATAAATTTTTTTAATTTAAGATTTTATTTATTTATTCATGAGAGATACAGAGAGAGGCAGAGACAGGCAGAGGGAGAAGCAGGTTCCATGCAGGCAGCCCAATGCAGGACTCAATCCTGGGACCCCGGGATCACACCCTGAGCAGAAGGCAGACACTCAACCGCTAAGCCGCCAGGCATTTCTAAAAAATAAGATCTTAAAAAAAAAAAATCCTCCCAACATCAGCTACCAAACCACTTTTTTTTTTTTTAAATAGTTAACTTCCTTTCTTCGACCACTCAGGTGGGTGTCTAGTCTACCCTTCTACAAACACTGCTCAACACCAAGGCCCATGACCTCTGCTCAGCCAAACCCAACGGTTCCATCTGTCTTCACAGCTGACAACGATCAATCCTGCTTGGAGTGTATTTATCACTTGATTTTTGGAATACCACACTCTGAGTTCTCTTATCTCATGGATTCCTCTAGCCCTACCTGACCTCTCTTTCAACACTAGGGTATAGAGCTCAGATCCCTGACCCCTTGGCCACCTAAACCCATATCCCATGTGATGTCATCCTGCCTCACTTAAATATCATTCAAGCACTCATGATGACTTCAACATTCATATCCCCAAATAAGTCCCTTCACCAAATTCCTGACTAAATACTTCTGCCCACATTATTTCTACCTAGATATCCAATAGGCATCTCCAATGTGACATGATCAAACCCCAACTCTGGACCCCTACACCCCAGCCCTCACACTCCTGAAGCCTTTCCCAGCTCAGGAGACAAGCTACTCCATATCATTCCGTAGCTCAGGTCAGCCACGCTGGCACTCATTCTTCACTCTCCTCTCTCAGATCCTACAGCCTGTCCATCAGCAAATCCTGCAGATTCTCCTTCGAAATACACCTAGACTCTAACCATGCCTGCCCACCTCTGGCAACTGGTCAGACTCACAGCCTGGATAACTCCCTCCTGCCCTTTCTCCACAGACATTTTTATACAGTTGACATTCTTTTCTCGCATCTAAATCAGAGTATGAAATACTGCTGTTCAAACTGTGATGAATCAAACAGTGACATCACCCAGTGTTGGCCAGGATGTGAAATACTGGGAACTCTCACACGATTCTGGTGGGATCAGAATACCTCAACCATTCTGGAGGGCTGGGTGGTGGTTTCTTACAAAGTCAAGCATAGTCCACCCTATGACCATAGGTATTTACCCAAGAGAATTAAAAACATTTTTCCACAAAAAGACTTCAATAGGAATGTTCATAACCCCCTCAATCAGCAATAGCCAAAAATGGGAAACAATCCAAATACCCACCAACAGAAGAATGGGTAATCCAAATGTGTAATATTTTATCATGAATGAAATAGTACTTGGCAATAAAAGAATGATGTAATGCCACATGCAACAACAGGAATGAATCTCAAAAACAGGGTCAGAGGAGCACCTGGGTAGCTCAGTTGGTTGAGCACCCAACTCCTGGTTTCAGCCTAGGTCATGATCTCTGGGTCGGGTGATGGGAGTTCTGCCCTCAGTGGGGAGTCTGTTTGGAGATTCTATCTGCCCCCTCCTCCACTCACGCAGGTGCACTCTCTCAAATCTTTGGAAAAAAAAAAAGTCACAGAAGAGACAAAAACAGACTTAATAGATGATTCCATTCATAGGACAAGAATAGGTAGAACTGTATGGTGGCAGAAGCAGAGGGCAGTGGTCTCTTGGGCATGCTCTACTGACAAACTAGTGGGGTTTCACTACTGCTCACCCCAGCATGGGCCTGGCCTGTGAAAAAGCTCAGGCTCTCTCTCCACACCTTCACTGCCTGGCCTGCAAGAAGACAGGTTCTTGCCCCTATTCTTTGGGTTTGAAAGGACCGAAACTGGGATCCCTGGGTGGCGCAGCGGTTTGGCGCCTGCCTTTGGCCCAGGGCGCGATCCTGGAGACCCAGGATCAAGTCCCACATCCGGCTCCCGGTGCATGGAGCCTGCTTCTCCCTCTGCCTATGTCTCTGCCTCTCTCTGTGTGTGTGTGTGTGTAACTATCATAAATAAATAAAAATTTTTTAAAAAAAATCAAAGGACCGAAACTGCCAGAAGGGGACGTAGCACTAACAACCAGAACTGAGGGGGTTCCCTGTCAAAGAGCCCCTCAGCAGAAGGAATTAGGAGTTTCCCTTTGTTGCATACCTACCAGGGCCACCCCCTCTTTAGGACCAGAAGGAGAAAATGCCCACACAATCTTTCTGAAACTGTATTTGAGAGCACCTGGCTCAAAATGTCCTTACTCCTAGATGGGAGCTGACCCTGGCTGATTCCCAATTGGGAGGGGACAATCAAAATCACTCAGGTGCTTTTCAAACTCTACATGCCCCCTCTATTCCAAATAAAATCAATGTTCTTTGCTATAATGAGCCACTTTTATCTCTGAGATAGGAAGAAGATTGCAAAGGCTCAGGATAAATTCTGCCTGCGTTGTTGATACATTATTTTTTATTTTAAAGATTTGAGAGAGGGCACCTGGGTGGTTCAGCGGTGGAGCATCTGCTTTTGGCTCAGGTCCTGATCCCAGGGGTCCTGGGATGGAGTCCAGCATTGGGCTTTCTACATGGAGCCTGCTTCTCCCTCCGCCTGTGTCTCTGCCTTTTTTTTTCTGGGTCTCTCATGAATAAATAAACAAAACCTTTAAAAAGTTTTTTTAAAAATAAAGATTTGCGAGAGCTTGTGCCCATGAGTGGGAGGAGGGGCAGAAGGAGAGGGATAATCAGACTCCCTGCTGAGCACTGAGCTCACCCTAGGGCTCTATCTCAGGACCATGAGGATCAGGCCTTGAGCTGAATGCAGACGCCCCCCATCATTTTCTTTATTAGTGAGGCATAATCAATACACTATACAATTCACCCATTTAAAATATATAATTCAGGGCAGCCTGGGTGGCTCAGCGGTTTAGCGCCTGCCTTCAGCCCAGGGTCTGATCCTGGAGACCTAAGATCGAGTCCCACGTCAGGCTCCCTGCATGGAGCCTGCTTCTCCCTCTGCCTGTGTCTCTGCCCCTGTGTGTGTGTGTGTGTGTCTCATGAATAAAAATCTAAAAAAAATAAAATAAAATATATAATTCAGGGGCACTTGGGTGGCACAGTCGGTTAGGGGTCCAACTCTTGGTTTCAACTAAGGTCATGATCTCAGGGTCATGGGATCGAGCCCTGCATCAGGATCCATGCTCACTGCACAGTTGCTCACTGCAGAGTCTGCTTGAGATTCTTTGTCTCTCCATCTCCTCCTCTAAAATAAATCTTTAAAAAAAATAAGATGTACAACTCAATAGTTTTTAGTATATTCAAAGTTGTAAATGATCCTTGTGTCTTTTCTATTTTTCATGTAACATAATGTGTTCAAGGTTCATTCAGTTGAAGCACGATCAGTACGTCATTCCTTTATATGGGTAATATTCCCTTGTTTGGATGATGCATTATTTTCATGCATTCTCTATAATGTAAGAGAACCCTGCCCCTTACTTAATATAGTATGCTTGTCGATACATGGGGCTCAAACTTATGAACCCAAGGTCACTCACAACTCCAAGGTCAAGAGTAGTATGCTCTACTGGCTGAGCCAGCCAGGCACCCCAATATAGTTATTTTTTTAAAGTTAGAAGAAATGTTTCTTCAAAGCCATACAATATTAATTTTATTTTAAAGATTTTGAGAGAGAAAGAGCACACACACACAGGCATACAGAGGGCAGAGGGAGAAACAGACTTACTGCTGAACAGGGAACCCAATGAGGGGCTCAATCCCAGGATCCTAGTATCATGACCTGAGCCAAAGGCATAAGTTTAACCAACATGAGCCTCCCAGACACCCTACAATATTCTTAATTTTAAAGCCAGTTGAGGGGCACCTGGTGGCTCAGCTGGTTAAGCATCTGCCTTCCCTCTCAGGTCATGATCTCAGGGTCCTGGGATTGAGCCCCACTTCGGGCTCCCCGCTCAGTGGGGAGCCTGCTTCTCCTCTTCCCTCTGCCCCTCCCCCACCCATGTTCACTTTCTCTCGCCCAGCTCTCTCTCTCTCAAATAAAATATTTAAAAAATAAATAGGGATCCCTGGGTGGCGCAGCGGTTTAGCGCCTGCCTTTGGCCCAGGGCGCGATCCTGGAGATCCGGGATCGAATCCCACGTCGGGCTCCCGGTGCATCGAGCCTGCTTCTCCCTCTGCCTGTGTCTCTGCCTCTCTCTCCCTCTCTCTCTCTGTGACTATCATAAATAAAAAAAAATAAATAAATAAATAAAGCAAGTTGAATCATCTTAAAATCAAAATCTGAGGGAAATTTGGTGTAGATGCCTCAAACTAACGTGACATTAGTAATAGTGGTCAGCAAACTAAGAGGTGAATCTCTAACCGTTCATTAATTCCAGCTGATCAGCACTGGGTGGCTCAGTTGTGTGTGTGTGTGTGTGTGTGTGTGTGTGTGTGCGCGCGCGCGCGCGCGCCCGCGCGCGCCCATGCGCACCCACCCCCTCGCGGGGACCCTGCTCAGCAGGGAGTCTGCTTCTCCCTCTATTCCCACTCATCCTCCCTTGCACTCTCTGTCAAATAAATAAATAACATGTTTTTAAAATTTCAGCTGACCAGTGGATGTTGGAGTAAGTGGAAGGGGCTCCGTGCTTGCACCCTAAGGGAAGGTGTCACCTGGCCCTGCTCCACCCAGGTCCTTACCCACATCCATCCACTCAGGAGGAATCAGCCGACACTTCTGTCTCTGTTTCAGGTTAATCGCCAGCCACAGAGGCACTTCCACTGGTAAACCAGGGTTAAAAGGCCCCAGGTCCCCCTGCCAAAGAAAAGCCAAGTCCTGGTAAGACAAAACATGGCACAGGGCACTACTGGACCCCACTGCTGTCCAACAAGGGAAAAGGCGTTGCAGAAGTTGAAACCCAAAGGAAAAAGCCCAACTGTGAACATACACCCAGCAAGGTAGCTCCAATCAAGGGATCAGGCCGTGGGCACTGTCCTCAGCTGCACACCTGGCCAGCTCACCTGAGCATGGGTTTCCTGCAGGGTGCTGCAGGGAAGGTGGCTGGAACAGCTGAGGTGCTGGGCCCAGGATGAGAACCTGCTCACCTCTTCCTCCCCTCTGCATCCACCCAACCTGTACCCCTGCCCCAACCCATCACTGGCCACTCATTGTCTCTCCCTCCCCAGTACTCCCCCACAGCACCTACATCTCTTCCCCCAAACACTCGAGGTCACCCCACCCTGTATCCTCCCATATACCATTCAGAGTCCCCCCTCATGAACTCCCCCCAACCACCAAGCATCCCCTCCAGGAACTCCCCACCACCACCACTCATTGCACCCCCCCAGGTAGTCCCCCCACACCACTCAGCATAACCCCCAGGTATACCCCCCCACCACTGGGCCTCCCCCCTCAGTGCTCCCCCCACCACTGGCCAGTACTCCCCTCAGGTGCTCCCCCCGACCACTCGGGTCCCCCCTCAGATGCTCCCCCCCACCACGGGGCGTCCTCCCCCCAGGTGCTCCCCCCCACCACTGGGCGTCCCCCCCTCGGGCGCTCCCCCCCACCACTGGGCGTCCCCCCCTCGGCGCTCCCCCCACCACTGGGCGTGCCCCCTCAGATGCTCCCCCCCACCACTGGGCGTCCCCGCTCAGGCGCTCCCCCCCACCACTGGGCGTCCCCCCCTCGGGCGCTCCCCCCCACCACTGGGCGTCCCCCCCTCGGGCGCTCCCCCCACCACTGGGCGTGCCCCCTCAGATGCTCCCCCCCACCACTGGGCATCCCCGCTCAGGCGCTCCCCCCCACCACTGGGCGTCCTCCCCTCGGGCGCTCCCCCCCACCACTGGGCGTCCTCCCCTCGGGCGCTCCCCCCCACCACTGGGCGTCCCCCCCTCGGGCGCTCCCCACCACTACTGGGCGTCCTCCCCTCGGGCGCTCCCCACCACCACTGGGCGTCCTCCCCTCGGGCGCTCCCCCCACCACTGGGCGTCCCCCCTCGGGCGCTCCCCCCACCACTGGGCGTGCCCCCTCAGATGCTCCCCCCCACCACTGGGCATCCCCGCTCAGGCGCTCCCCCCCACCACTGGGCGTCCCCCCCTCGGGCGCTCCCCCCACCACTGGGCGTCCCCCCCTCGGGCGCTCCCCCCACCACTGGGCGTCCTCCCCTCGGGCGCTCCCCCCACCACTGGGCGTCCTCCCCTCGGGCGCTCCCCCCCACCACTGGGCGTCCTCCCCTCGGGCGCTCCCCACCACCACTGGGCGTCCTCCCCTCGGGCGCTCCCCCCACCACTGGGCGTCCCCCCCTCGGGCGCTCCCCCCCACCACTGGGCGTCCTCCCCTCGGGCGCTCCCCCCCACCACTGGGCGTCCCCCCTCGGGCGCTCCCCCCCACCACTGGGCGTGCCCCCTCAGATGCTCCCCCCCACCACTGGGCATCCCCGCTCAGGCGCTCCCCCCCACCACTGGGCCTCCCCCCTCGGGCGCTCCCCCCACCACTGGGCGTCCCCCCCTCGGGCGCTCCCCCCACCACTGGGCGTCCTCCCCTCGGGCGCTCCCCCCACCACTGGGCGTCCTCCCCTCGGGCGCTCCCCCCCACCACTGGGCGTCCTCCCCTCGGGCGCTCCCCCCCACCACTGGGCGTCCTCCCCTCGGGCGCTCCCCACCACCACTGGGCGTCCTCCCCTCGGGCGCTCCCCCCACCACTGGGCGTCCCCCCCTCGGGCGCTCCCCCCACCACTGGGCGCCCCCCCCTCGGGCGCTCCCCCCACCACTGGGCGTCCTCCCCTCGGGCGCTCCCCCCCACCACTGGGCGTCCCCCCCTCGGGCGCTCCCCCCCACCACTGGGCGTCCTCCCCTCGGGCGCTCCCCCCACCACTGGGCGTCCCCCCCTCAGGGCCCCCCGCCGACCACTCAGGGTTCCCCAGCCCGGTCCACTCGGCGGGTGTCCGCGGAGATCCCAGCACTACCGCGTCTCCCAGGCGCTGGGGCCTCAGGCAAATGGCTGCCCCAGCTCTTACCCCAATGAGGTAGATCTGGTCTAGGCTGAAGTTTGGGATTATGGTGACCAGCTCCTTCTCAGCCAGAAACTCCACCTCCGCCGCGTCCATGCTGGCCACAGAGACCCGCCCGAGACACGTCGCAACCGGCAGCCCCTCACAGTCCGGGGTGAAGGGCCCTGGCCACAGCTTTCCCGCCACCGCGTGGGGCCCGCCCCCCTGGACCGGAAGAAGCCTCGGCCAGCCAATAGCAACGCGGCGCTCTCCTCGTGGCGGCGGGAGGCGGGAACCGCGGCCGCCTCGAGTCCACGGATTGGCCAACGTCAACGAGGCTGAGCAGACCACGCCCTCCAGCCTCGCGGCAGGGCCGGCCCCGCCCCCTCCGCGCTCCTCCGGTAGGCGGTGCTTCGCGCCGTGCACCTGGCGCTGCGGGCTCTCCGGCCGCGGTCCCCGCCCTTCCGCGTCCCTTCACCTGTCCTGAGCGCCTACGCTGAGTCAAGCTGGGGGTGGAGATCGGTGCACGTGGCACTGGGTCCCGCCCCGGCACACGAGTAAGTGCATTGATTATTAGGTCGTGGCTGTGACCTAGCCAGGCATATGTGGCCTGGGCCCCAGCGGAGTGAGATATATAGTCTTGTTTTCCTTAACTTCACAATCTTTTGTCTTCTCTTTACATATTGATTAGAACCTATAAAAAGGTAGATTCCTGGGACGCCTGGGTGGCTCAGTAGATTGGGCGTCTGCCTGTGGCTTGGGTCATGACCCCAGGATCCTGGGATCCAGCCCTATATCAGGCTCCCTGCTTAGCAGGGAGTTGGCTTCTCCCTCTGCCCTTCACCTGGCTCATGCTCGCTCACTCGTTCTCAAATAAATAAAATCTTAAAATTAAAAAAAAAAAGGCAGATTTCCCACCTCGCCCACATCTTCACAGTGTGTACTTTGTCAAGCACCCCAGGTGAGACTCAGGAAGGGGCAGGTTTGCACAGCTGCTGCAAACACTACTGATGAGCTTCTCTGTCCCTTCCTCTAGACCACGGACTTATGTAAAACCTAATAGCAGTGCTTCTCACATTCTCTTCTGGGTCAGAATCCCCCCAGAAGATTCTGAGTGTTAGGGATCCCTGGGTGGCGCAGCGGTTTGGCGCCTGCCTTTGGCCCAGGGCGCGATCCTGGAGACCCAGGATCGAATCCCACGTCGGGCTCCCGGTGCATGGAGCCTGCTTCTCCCTCTGCCTCTCTCGCTCTGTGTGTGTGACTATCATAAATAAATAAAAATTAAAAAAAAATAAAATAAAGATTCTGAGTGTTAACATGCATGCTCTTGGAGAACTGTGAGTTAGGGGTCTGGGGTGGGATAGAAAACTGAATTTTAGGGCAGCCCTGGTGGCGCAGTGGTTTAGCGCCGCCTGCAGCCCAGGGCGTGATCCTGGAGACCCTGGATCGAGTCCCACGTTGGGCTCTCTGTTATGATGCTGCTTCTTCTCTGCCTGTGTCTCTGCCTCCCTCTCTCCCTCTGTCTCTGTGAATAAATAAATAAAATCTTTAAAAAAAGAAAACTGAATTTTAACTAGGGCCAGAAAGCTTCCTGGGAGTGAAGCTGCCAGTGCAGGCTAGGGACAGACAGTGGGCTGAATTTGAACCCTTGATCATGAGGTCCTGAGAACAAACACAAGAGACAGGAGGAAAAAAAAAAAGAGAGAGAGGAGGATTCCAGGGTTCCAAATCCCCACAGGAAAGTTGCCCCACCCCAGAAAACTCCATGCTTCCCTCCCTAAGCCCCCTGAAATCTGCCCCATGTCGGGTTGCGGAGAAATGAAATAAGGCCATAATTAAGTTCTGTCCACTCACATGGCCTAGAAAGCTATGTCTGCTATTTATCTGCACTGGAAATCACCTTCACTGTGAGCCATTTATTAAGACAAATATAAAACTGGCTGGCTCGGTTTAGCACCACCTTCAGCCTGGGGCCTGATCCTGGAGACCCAGGATCCAGTCCTGCATTGGGCTCCCTACATGGAGCCTGCTTCTCCCCCTGCCTGTGTCTCTGCCTCTGTGTGTGTGTGTGTCTCATGAATAAGTAAATAAAATCTTAAAAAAAAAAAAAAAAGACTGGCTGACTCAATCTGTGGAGCTGGTGATTTTTTAATTAATCTCTAATGCAAAAAAAAAAAAAAAAAAAAACTCTAATGAAACATGGGTCTTGAACTCATGACCCCAAGATAGAGTCAGATGTCCTACCAGCTGTGCCAGCCAGACTCCCCAGAAGGAGCTACTCTTGATCTTGGGATCTTGAGTTCAAGCCCTTTGTTGAGTATGGAGATTACTTGAAGAAAGGGGGTGGGGGAGGAAAATGAATAAAAGGTCCCTTTGGATGCCATGTGACTGAGGGCAAGTGACTGACTACTTTGAACCCCAGTCTCCTCATCTGCAAAGGAAGTAGGAATGAGAAGGAGCCCGGGGTGTCTGGGGAGAGGGAGAAGCTGCAGGCCACCTGGTCTCTCCTAAAATAGAAGCTCCCTCAGGCATCTGCAGGGAATGTGTGCCAGCTTGTCTGGGTTTTGACTGATAGGGGAATGTTTTCTTGACTGGCAAATATTTGTGTTCCAGAGCTGGCGAGGCTTCCCTCCCTCATTTTCATAGCCTGGAAAAGAGCAAAGGAAAAGAGCTGGTGGGGAAAGCCCAGGTTCAGAGAGGCCATGCATGGCGGGATGAGTAGGAGAGCTAGCAGAGCCCGGTGTCCACATCACCTGAGTGTCCTTGGCCCTGTCTGTAAAGTGGGGGCAGTGCTGCTGCTTACCTCACAGGGCTGCTGAGAGAGCAAGATGAGCTGGCTCAGTGTGCCGAGTTACACACTGCAACGTGATGGCGTCTCCGAGTCTCAAACATGAGCAAACAAACATTGGGGGCACCTAGGGGCTTGCTAAATGTCTTTCCATTCCCAGAGGTATGATTCACAACAGCTGAAAGGTGGAAACCGCTCAAATGTCCAGCAGCTGAGGGACAGATAAACAAAACATGGCCTATACATCGTGTGGAGTATTCATCCACCACAACCAAGAATGAAGCATTGATTCGTGCTACAGTGTAGATGAGCCTGGAAAACATGCTACATGAAAGAAGCCAGTCACAAAAGGCCGCATATTATGAGTCCATTTATATGAACAATGCAGAAACTAGATTAGATGTAGAGACAGAAGCTAGATTTGTGGTTGCCAGGGCTGGAGGAGGGGGAGAGGAGTGTGGCTGTTCATGGGTACAGGGTTTCTTTTAGGGGTGATAGAAATGTTTTAGAACTAGACTGGTGATGTTTGCACAGCTCTGTAAATACACTAAAAAACACTGAATTGTATACTTTAAAAGGGTGAGTTTTATAATATATGAATTATTCCTCAATAAAGCTGCTATTTAAGGGGCACCTGGGTGGCTCAGTTGGTTAAGGGTCTGCCTTCAGCTCAGGTGGTGATCCGAGGGTCCTGGGATCAAGCCCTGCATCAGGCTCCCTGCTCAGCAGAGTCTGCTTCTCCCTCTGCCACTCCCCATGCTCGTGCTCTCTCTCTCTCTCTCTCTCTCTCTCTCAAATAAATAATCTTAACAAACTGGGATGCCTGGGTGGCTCAGCAGTTGTGTTTGCCTTTGGCTCAGGGCCTGATCCTGGATTCCCAGGATCGAATCCCAAATCGGGCTCCTTGCATGGAGCCTGCTTCTCCTCCCTCTGCCTGTATCTCTGCCTCTCTTTCCGTGTCTCTCATGAATAAACAAATAAAATCTTTAAAAAATAGTAATCTTAACAAAGAAGTCAATAAAATCATAAATAAATAAATAAATAGCTGTTATTTAAAATGTCCTTCCCTAAGCTCCAGATTTGGATTTTCTGACTCAGTGACCACACACCTAACTGGATCCCAAGAGGTTTTTATAACTGGGAAAATTGGGAATTGAAGGGATTTGCCCCAATCTGGTTTAGCTCTGAGCCACACTTGAGATCCAGAGAGGACTTCCAAATGCCTGTCCTCATGTCTGGTCTCTAAAAGGAGGGGAGGATGGCAAAATACACTGGAGAGAGGGACAAGAAAGGCATTGGATTCATCTGTAGGGTTGGGGTGGAGGTGGGCTGTTGCTTTAGACAGGTTGGTCAGAACCCTCACACCACTATCCCCTGTTATATAAAAGGCCTCCCCTAGAAGATGGGAATGACCCATGTGGTAGTGAATTAAGAACTGGAGATAAGGGATGCCTGGGTGGATCAGCAGTTGAGTGTCTACCTTTGGCTCAGGGTGTGATCCTGGGATCCAGGATGGAGTCCCACATCAAGCTCCCTATGAAGAAGAGCCAGCTTCTCCCTCTGCCTATGTCTCTGCCTCTGTCTCTGCCTCTGTCTGTGTGTCTCTCATGAATGAATAAATAAATCTTAAAAAAAAAAAGTTGGAGATGAAATTAATGAGGATAAAGGGACAATCTTACTGTGTAGAAAATTCCAAACAATGTACATAAAGACTCTACCTTCAAGAAGGTGACATCAGGGCACTTGGCTAGCTCAGAAGAGCATGTGACTCTTGATCTTGGGGTCGTTTGAGCCCCACGTTGGGCATGGAGGTTGCTTAAAAAATAGTGATTCAGGGGATCCCTGGGTGGCGCAGCGGTTTAGCGCCTGCCTTTGGCCCAGGGCGCGATCCTGGAGGCCCGGGATCGAATCCCACGTCGGGCTCCCGGTGCATGGAGTCTGCTTCTCCCTCTGCCTATGTCTCTGCCTTTCTCTCTCTCTGTGTGACTATCATAAATAAATAAAAATTTAAAAAAAAAATAGTGATTCAGGATCATTTATTTAAAGATTTTATTTATTTATAAAATAAATAAATATAGAGAAAGTGTGAGGGTGGTGGGGGAAGGGGCAGAAGTAGGGAGAGAGAATCTCAGACTCCCCACAGAGCATAGAGCCCAATGTGGGGCTTGATCCTAGGACCCCAAGATCATGACCTGAGCCAAAATCAAGAATTGGACGCTTAACCGACTGAGCCACCCCGGTGCCCCAAGAGTGGTTCAGAAGCATTTAAAAATAAAAACAAGGGGATCCCTGGGTGGCTCAGCAGTTTAGTGCCTGCCTTTGGCCCAGGGCGTGATCCTGGAGACCCGGATTGAGTCCTGCATCGGGCTCCCTGCATGGAACCTGTTTCTCCCTCTGTCTGTGTCTCTG